CTCTATTGGAAGTACTGCATCAGTACTTCAATGGCAAATGATAACAAATGATACCATCTTTGCTTGTACAGATCTTAATGTACAAATTGGCAATATCTAGAAACTATTGAGCATTATGAACTTTGAAAAAAATATTTTGTAGAATAATCACCTCCTTAAAGGTCCACATAGACATAAATGCTTTAGGGGAGACCCTAGACTAAGCTATATTACTGTAGGGCCAAAAAAATGTAAGAAAAAAAATAGAGTTTATTAAAAGAGTTAGGGTAATAACACCTTTGCTGTTTAGTGAAACTGACTGCTTCCTTCTCTCACACTTATCCAAACAAGTATTTTCTAAAACAGAGCCTAAAAACGTTAAGTGCTTTCTCAGCTTGAGTTCAGAGTTAACAGAGGGCACTCAATAAATTTTATTCTAAAGAACAAGAAAATGAGCACTTTTTATGTGTATTGTCCCTCTGCCTCAAAAAGGCTTATGTGGCTTTTATTATTAGACTTGTTTGCTCTCTGCTTACTTTCATAGCACATCAGAAGTTATCCTCCTGTTAAAAAAAAATACATCATGTCTCTCTAGAGAATTGTTGCTTCCCTTTCCTGTTCTCATGTACTCTTGTACGTGCAGAGGATCACCCAAATCCAGAACTCTTAGAATCTTCATGTTAAATGTGTGTAGGCATGTAACAAAAAAAAATAAGATCAGCATATAAGAATTGGATTGTGAATCTTATACTGAAAATAAGCCTAGCTGATAGTCGAGACAAACTGGAGAGTCACCATCATGCATATTGTGTGGAAGTGGTAATGGATGAAATTAATTGGAAACATACAACTGTCTCCATTATTCCTCTTTCTGAAAACAAAGTGTTTTATTTACAATATTTATGGCAAACTCATTCTGAAAGAAGAATTGTCTAGAATGATCCAGAAAGGAACCAGATTTACCCAGTGAATCCTTGAAATCTCCATGTCTCTTGAAACAAGAATTTGAAAGTGACTTTGTCTTGAGTCTCTCTGTTTCTAAAGTCATATAGTCCCCATGTGCAGCTACAGATTGAGCTGCAGTTCTGTCTCCTACAAGAATGGCCCTGTAGAAAGTGGGAGGAGTGAAAGACAAGCTAGCAGATGGTACAGCCATAGATACTTTCTTGAACCTTCCTATGAAGTACTACTGTCCTGAGGACTAATATTCTATATAATTGTTACCAAATTAATAACAAGAACAAATAAAAATCCCAGGTCTTATTACTTAATGTATTTCTTCTATTAAAAAAGGGGTAAAAAGTACCCTGAAACAACAACAAAAGCAAACAAGAAAACCTGACAGCAACAAAAAATGTACAAAGTCAAAATTATAAAGCCAAAATTATATGGAAAATTGTACTTCTGACTTCCTGCAACGTTAAATTAAATAGCTGGAACCACAGGTATTTTGCAGTCATGTTTGGTAGTATCAGAGCTGTGAATATGATACAGGACATTCAAAAATTTTGTTTGTAGTTGCAAAGCATTGATGCCTCTGCATTAATGACTTTGAAGATCACTGTATGGAAGAATTATATTTTGTGAAACTGAAATATAGGTGACATGAAAACTGCATCAAAATTCTCAATATTTTGAGCAAAGTGCTTTTTTATCTTTTTTGCATTGTTCTCTTGTACTGTACTTATAAGTTATCTCAGATCTCCTCTAAAATGCATAGAAAAGTGTTTTAAAAAGCTCTTTAGAGTGCTTTATACTGAATTGATTGTTCTATAGTGCCAAAGACTGAAAAACTAAATCTTGAGACACATCACCTTCCTGGGGTTAAGTAGGTAGAGAATGGTACATTACTAATTTGAGCATGGGCCAGCATAGTTTTCAAGTGCTTAGTAGAACAAAGTTTTAATAAAAGATGCAAAGAAATTTGCAGTTCCGAGCCTTAACCTTGGAATAACAAAGGTCCTCACTAATCACTTTATTAAACCACACAGTAGCAGTTTTCTTACCGTGGCACCGTTCCAAAAAGTGGCTTCTGTTCAGCATTTCACTCCAGGTCACCAGCCACTGCAGTGCTATCCATGAGGAGATTTATGGACCTCAAAGTGGAACTCCTTAAAGAACAATGTGTTGTTAATCAGCAAGCCACTGAGTGAGCAAATGGGAAATGCTGAAGCTACAGAATCTCTTCTTTCTCTGGGATGTGAAAGCCTTGCTCAGTGCATCTTCAAGGATTTAATGGCCTCTCTCCTGAAGGTCTCTTTTTTTCTTTTTTTGTTTTCCAAAGCAGTGCTAGTTAGTTATTTGGGATAGGGCTGGATGTAATTTCAAGGTGAAAGGTAGGCTGTGCAACCCTGCAGTTTGAGACCACTGCACTGTGCTGATGGGCTCAGCTCCATCCCCGTGGGACAGAGCTATGTTCTCAGCAAATGGATGTGGCAGCTTTCCTTTCTCTGCTTGAAGAGATTTACTTGTACATCTCTAATATTCAAAAAACTGCTCTCCCTGATGAACTGCTGAGTATGCTGGTGTCCTCTGCTTTTCTCTCATCCAGCATCCATCCTAAAGTATGCCAGAAATGGTGGAAAAACTTTTACAGGGAGAATGAGTCCCAGCCACCATAGATAGATCACCAGATAGAATATGGGGTATGAAGAAAACAGAATCACTTAAGAAAGACAAAGGCATGAAATTTTTGTATTCTATAACCTCAGCTCTTGTGTAATGCAGTGTTCAGCATTTCAGCCTAGATTGTAGGTCTCTGGCTATGTAGGGAAACCCACATAGTTCCTCTGTAGCAGACAGGAGACTTATGCACCATGAAGTAGGTATTAGAGAAAGAAAAGAGGAAGGAAAAAAAGGTCAAACAAAATCAAAGACAAGTTAAACAGATTCTTATTTGCACAGGCTACTGCTCCTCTGTAGGGAAGATGGACGCTTCTTCCAGTCAAGTTTGAAAAAGCATTGAAAACCCCAGCTGTCAGATGTGTGAGTTGAACAGAGGTATGGTTTGTTCAATAAATTCCAGCCGTTGGGACTGAGGAATACGCAGTGCTGTGGATCTCAAAAGAACCTGAATGTGAGATACATTTTACCTTGGCCTTCTCGCAGTGTCAGCAGTGTTTATTCCTGAGTGCGCAGAGAAGTAGGGCTTTAAATGTTCAGGAAACTCCACCAAAGAAATCTCAGGCTTGTTTAGGTTTCTGGATTTAGGTAGCGGCAGAGTAAGGATAAAGCATATTTCAAAATAAGGTAGCTAATCTCATTTAGATACCCTCATTCTGTTTTTCTAATCCAGTCCAAAGCTCCAGATTCCATTTCTGTCTTAAAAGAGAGGAGTGCACTGTAATTGCATAAGTATGAGATGTCCAAACAGTGTAAGTGAAATAATGTGTAAGAAATAGACAGCATTTTATCCAGCTGAAAAATTCAAAACTGAGCATGAATACTTCCCTGCTGAAATAGGAAAAGATTTTGCAGCTGTGCTAAATCATGCCCAAGATAACAATTTTCTGCATGTATTTGGGAAGTGAATACTGACACAGTGATACTCCTAGCAAAGAGAAGAAAAAAAAATAGTGATGGAAATTGTGATGATGATGGTGATGACAGTGGACTTACCTCCAAACGCCAGAAAACATGGAATTAGGACTGGTACAAAGAAGATATGAGATACAGAAATCCAAACATATTTAACATTGTCTTCAGCTATTTACAAGTTAATCCACTTTTAACAAGCAAGAAAGTACTATAATTTTTACTGATATTCTTTTCACTTGCACAGTATTAAATATATCATATGTACGTGTTACTATAATGTGATATCCAGATCAATTGCATTCTTGATACAAGTTTGAGATGTATGTCAGAGGTGTTTGAGTCTGTGTTCTGTAACAGGGAGATGAAACTCAGTGGACATAAAAGAGCTAGAAAGCCTGTGGAATCTTGCTCTGTGAGTTAAAATACCTTGAGATTTCTGTGAATCTATCTTGCTTTTCTAATGGAAGACACATTTTGACCTACTGAAGTATATTTCTTGTGTGCCTACTACAAGTAGTTCCAGGGAAACTGCACCTGGCTTTCAATGCTGTATGCTTCCAAAAGTGCCAGGACACTTTGGTCTTTCTCAGAGTCTGCATTTTTCTGTAATTAGATAATTGAAAGCAAGATATGGAAGTGAAGAACTGAAGTTACAGGCCCATCAGATAGTAGTGAGAAATTTATCAAACAGTACATTTTACCTCATTTTATAGAATCATAGGATATGCTGAGCTGGAAGGGACCCATCAAGATAATCAAGTCCAACCCCTGGTCCTGCACAGGAAACCACAATAGTCACACCATGTGTCTGAGAGCATTGTCCAAACACTTCTTGAACTTTGTCAGGCTGGTGCTGTGACTGCTTCCCTGGGGAGCCTGCTCCAGTGCCCAGCCACTCTCTGGGTGAAAAACTTTCCTGCTATCCAATCTAAACCTTCCCTGACTTAGCTTTATGCCATTCTCTTGAATTTTGCCACCAGTCATGAGAGTGAAGAGATCAGTGCCTGCCCTGCTGCTTTCCCTTATGAAGAGCATTTGACAGGTTTTACTGCTCTCCACAGTAAACACTGAGAAAATACGTAAATACACACAAGAGCAAACACACACTGACATGAAGTTTACACTGGCATTTGTTTGAAGTCTCACCCTTCAGTAGGATTATAAGATGAAGTGCAATGTGGTTAAATTCAGGTAGGAATAAAGTCACAGTTATGATCATATGTGTGATGTGTTTGCCTATGCAAAAATCTGGCATGAGAAGAGTGGGATTGTTTGCAGGAAAGAATGAAGCTTTTTTGCTTAAAGGACCAAATTTACAGGTTCTAATGGTCCCTCACATGCTGTGTGTGATAAACATTCAGTTTATATTTCCAGGAACAATAAAATTTCATGTACTACTGCTCAACATAGGAAATATTTTTACATATCTCCATGCCACTGACTCTCTTGTAAGTTAATCTCATCTCTCATCAATTTTTCACCAGCTTCACTCTGATGTTGATAAAGGAGATGGTTCCATCAAATACATCTTGTCAGGCGAAGGGGCAAGTTCCATTTTCATTATTGATGAGAACACGGGGGATATTCATGCTACAAAGAGGCTGGATCGAGAAGAGCAGGCCTACTACACGCTCCGAGCACAAGCACTAGATAGGCTGACTAATAAACCCGTGGAGCCAGAGTCTGAGTTCGTCATTAAGATTCAGGACATCAATGACAATGAGCCAAAATTTCTGGATGGTCCCTACACTGCTGGAGTTCCTGAGATGTCTCCTGTGGGTAAGTCCAAAATACACTGTTGGTGTTGTGGGAAATTTGTTCCTATTGCCTTTTTTAAAGTTTCATTATTTTTTACTGTTTCACACTAAGCTACTTAATTATCTATGAGGCACCTGCAACAGTTAGATATTTCAAGACTTAACTGGAAATAACATGCTAGATTAAGTATTTACCCTTTCAAGAATGTTGCAAAACTCAAATAGCTATGCAAGGATTCAGATAACCATTTTATGGTGTATTTCTCATTCCAGGGCCCAGAGGCTTTGTTTTATAATTCCCATTAACAATAATAATTTTCATACCTATGTTACGGTACTCAGAGGTTATAATTTATAATTTCATTCAGATAAGGTGCGTTCATAACAAACTCTTCAAATTCCTTCTAGTGAATATCATAATCTTTTTTGAAAGTTTTGCACATTTCAGTAATAGTTTATTGGATATTTTTTCCTTACACCAAAATTTCTGGGGAATTTAGGCAAGCAGCAGGAACCGGGTACAACCTGAGATTGTTTAAAGTTCTACTGAAATCAGAGAAGAATGTGTTCAGACCTTTGTTGGAAATTAAGAAATGCTGATTTTTCCTGAGTTTGAATTAGGGAAGAATTTCAAAATCAAATCCACTCTCTTTATTCTAAAGTGACCAAATGCTCATCCATTGTCAGGTGCTGCTATTCTTCTGAAAGCTGACTCTTTCAGACCAGTTTAAGGCTTGGCCCAGATATGTTTGGGTAAATGTTGCTTTCAGATGAAATTATAAATGCAAGCACAAAAAAACTCAACCCAAACCAAACCAACCAACTAACCTAACAAACAAACACAATAAACAAACAAACAAAACAAAAAATGAACAAAAAAACCAAACCAAACAGACAAAAACCCCCAACTTTCTTTACTGCAATTATGTATATGGGCAGGTTCACTTCAGCTTAGGAGAGTTCTGTGGTGATTGAAATAAAGATTTTCTTTCCTTGACTGATTTTAAACCATATTAAAATGTGGTACTCTTACAGTAAGGCTGTGCATAAAATTTGCTACAGTTTCCTCAGTATGATCTCCTGTGGTTTTGAATGTTAAACAATGCATCTAAATTGGAGTTAGAAAGAGAAAAATTATCTTCCCTACCTAAGTACCCTGCAGCAATCAGTAGCAAACATTGCTTATATATTTGAAACTCAGTTTTGGAGTCAATAGAAGATAAGTAAAACATTGCTAATGAGCTTTCTATACATTTATTTTACTAAGCAGTGAGCATAGACTATATTTCTCATTGGTACTTGGCATTTCCTCATTGTCACTCAAGCACTATGTGGATGACTGAAGAGGCAATATTAGCCTTGGAAGAAAGACAGACACCACAGCTTTTGCAGAGTAACAGAGAGGAGATGAAGTTGTGATATATTGCTGGGAACTTTTTTATTCTGAACTTTGAAAACTTCTAGATAACAGATAATCTAAGACTGGAAAACCTAAATAATCCACTTCAAAAATATGTTGTGTTGAAATACATCTCTTTATTCCTTGATTAAGTTGCCCTTTTATTTTAGAATAAGATTATTTATTTAAGTAAGATGTAACATGAAGCAACTATAAGATATTTTTTTTCACTTTTGTCTTATGACCTGAAAAGAAATTATCTCCATATTTCAGTTTTGCATTTATCACCTCTGTCTTTTCTTGCACTGACATTTTGATGTACAGACAACTACTATAGATATATGAGGTTTGCCTACATATACAAATCCATGCCTCTACTCCTTCCTATGCTCCATTTGTTCCAAAAATGTATTGGAAATCAATCTATGGGGAGTGCACTGTGTGCAGTGGAGAATATACGGACTATTTTTCAAAACGAGCTGCTTTGCATATTTTGTTGAATCTTTACATTATAAAGGAGTAAAAGAAATTCTCTCTCCTATGGACCATACAACAAATGAATTTTCAATTCAGGTGAAGTATTATGCAAAATTATTAACAGAGACTTGTGCACTCTCTGAGATTTGTGTCAACTAAGGGTGGTTTCACATTCATGAACTTCCTGAAACTTCACATTTTAAACATCTTCATGGTTAGTATCACACACCTACCAAATACTGCATTGTTACAGAGTTAAGGATTACCATGAAATTCCTTTGTCACACTTTCTTGCATTTTGTCTAACATAGTTACAGCAATTCATACTTTATTCATATAACATAATTTTTAATTAATCACCTAGAGCATCCATGAAATATTAAGGAGATACAAAGTATCTCTCTCCTATTTTGTTTAAAATTATATCCATGACAAGTATTTTTAATTGGATATTACAGGAAATGAAAGAGATCACAGGATTATAAACCCAAATTAACTATAAAGCTAGGAAAACTATAACCTTTAACCTACAGGCTGGTTATGCAAGTATAATATTTCTGCATTTTATTTGACAAATATTTTTGGACATTATCTAAGGCTAATTGAAGTCAATCTCTTCTTTTATTTGAAATGACTTCAGGTCAGGTTCAAATTATATTTGGGTCAGGCCCAATTATATTGATTATCCTGAACAGAGTAAATATCTTGATGGCTTGTAAATCTGTTAATGACAAAACTCCCAAAATACGGCTTATCTGAAAATCATAAGGATTTATTTGTCGTATTTTTTTTTTAAGTGTGTCTGGTACTTAAAAAACTGAGCAGCATTATATTTCAAACAAAATGATACTGGTCTGTTTGAGTTATAGCCAAGGGAAGTAGGGGTGAGAATTCCAATGCCCAACATAGTTTTTGGTTTGTTTAATCTTCTCTGCTCTCCAGCCATATCAAGAACTTTGCTTGTTACCCAGCACAACAAATGTCTTTCTTGCCATGTTTATTACCCCTGACTGAAATGGATAGAAATATCTATCTAGAATTATATAAAGAGATAGCAAAGGCACTGTATCAGGCTTAAATCTTTGATACAGTGTGTAGTGGGCTTTGAGAGCCTGCATGAAGTGTCTCTCTCCAAGCACGCCTCCTCTGCTTTCCTTTGTCTGACTTTGCTGCTTAGCTGGGACCATTCTTGAGATTTTTCCCCAAGTGAAGGCAATGTAATGAGGCTGTGGGAGGGGAGGGAGGAGGTGAAGAGGGTTCTGACTCTCCCCGTTCACACCCCTGGAGGGGAAAGGCTGTGGAGGCGTTGCTGCATCAGCTTTGGTTGAGACCCAGCAGTAGAAGCATAGAAATACCTGAAGGTACTGAGCAGAACGAGTCTGAATTGTTGTATGTAAGGATTATGCAGGAATTCTGGATAAGTTAATCGTAAAGGTGTTTAATGTTTTTAGCGACAGCTGATACCATGTAGAAACATGATGCCATCATGGAATTGTTTTGTGTGTTAGACATGGTACACATCATTAATTAATATGAATTAATACTTTTAATAACTGACTGCCTTGTTAACGTGGATAAAATTCAATTGATAAGAGTTTGTGCAGTTTCAAAATTAGGCATTTGTTAAATTAATCTAGTTTTAGAAACCAGTTTTCTTTTGAATGATTTCAGTGATATTAACAAAGTCACAAAATCATTTCTCATAAAACATTATTTAAAAATTTGCATAAAACATACTGCAAGTCACTTGTAAGCTTTCTAAAAAGCTCTATAGAGGTTTCTAAAATAATACACTTAGAGATTCAAAATGGATCCCTTCGAAGGATCTCTAACTCAAATTTCAGCAACCAGTTTAGCTTTTTATCTTCCTATCACAGAAAATGTCAGTCTCTGCAGTGTTTCAGGAACGTTGTTGAACCTTGACTTGGCTAAATTTAAGAACAAATAACATTCTAAATGTTATTTGTCGTCTCTGCAAATATCCTCCTGTCCTTTTACCCTAATATCAGTATAAACAGACTAAGTTCTAAAATTACTGTTATTTGGTAATCTCTACCAATATCTATTAAATATTATGTTACAAATTATCTTAAAGATTCTGGAAAATAAGACCAGAAATCTGTGCCAGTCACACAGAATTAAGTCTGTTGCTAGCTACTATAAAAAAAAAAGTGGAACACTTTGATAAACAGCACAGATTTTTTCTCAGTACTTGTTACAACTGATGAAAAAGTTTATGAAGTTGCTACATGTAGAATTCTTTTTAATTAACTGATATCCAAGCTTCGTTAAAAAAAATAACTCTAGAGAATGATGATTTTAAAGGAATCCAAATCTAAAAGAGAAAGCTATTTTTAAAATAAATAACACATATTTATTTTTTCAACCCATATAAAATACACAAATTGTAAATAATATTTTAAATTATAGTTGCGAAGCTGAAAGTTGGGTGTAGGGTCAATGTCCTGTCTACACTTAGACTCCAGGGCTCTGAACAATGGTGACTAAACAAGATTTTTTGGAACACTCATTTTGCTGGATGGAATAAAAGTGTGGTAGCATTTGTTGATAGTCCCTATTAGCTATAAGTCCTAATCTTGGATGCATGTATGACAGCTGACTGTCTCTGCTAGAGGGAAAGGCAAAGCATTCATGGATACAAGGAAAATAATTTCAGTGCAGGAGCACAAACTCTTCTAAGATGATATGCTTGGGACTACAATGCAACTACACATTTTCCCTCACACTTTTAGATTTATTTACTTTCCGTAAGTATCCCCGTAAGTTTTATGTTTTGAGGTTTTTTTAAAGGGGAAGTAAGAATTTTAATTTGACATCAATCCATTGCAGAAAAATTAGGACAGCAAGGCATGGCAGTTATCATACTCTGAAGGAATTCCTGTTCTTCAAGAGCAATCTGCTTCTTCTGGAAAAATCTCTGGAAATCCTCAAATACAGATCTTTCTCTGCATTTTGTTTCCTTGGAACAGATTTCCTACACACAGGATTTTCACATAGTTAGAATACCTTCTGTTATCTTACATATTCTTAAAAAAACTGTTGTGCAGAAATCTCCTTCTCAGCATGGGGCTTTAGAAGCTATTTTTTTGGTGTGCAATTAGTAAAGAAATAATGACAATAGCATAGGTTTCAGATCTTTCCCCCACTGATGTTTAGAAGAAGTTAATTAGCACAGAGGGACTGGAAAAGTATCATTGTTTTTTAGTTACTGATTGCATTTAAATGGAATTACGCAGAAAGATTTGATGTTAGAATTTCTACTTACAAACCACCCTTTTCTGAAGTACTCATGCGTTTTAGGAGAGAGAAAATCAAATTCAGATAATGACTTTATTCATCTCCTGGAATGTAGAGGGTTTGTTTGCTACATCAATAGGTTTTTACACCAAACAAGCACTTCTAAACTTGCGGCATTTCAAAAATGTCTGTGCTGAGATTGCAGAGCTTGTAATTTCTTTGATCTTGTATTGGTCTGGGGCCCTTGAAAGCAGCAAGAGCAGGGGGCAAAGGCATAACTGTGTGTGAGGTTTATAGGCACTTTTGCCAATATTTGCAGACATTGTAAGCTTCATTGGCAGGGCTTAGTGACTTTGTAAATGTGGCAAGCCTAGCTTGCACAAAGAACACAGGATGTCAAACAGTCATTATGATACCCTTGTTCTCAAAATCTGGATAGACTTTGGCAAGTTTAAAATAGGTCCCTGTATGAAATTACATTATAGAGTAATCTGTAAAATCAGTTTGACATACTGAATCAAAGCTCTTAGTTACTGGTGAACAGAAAATGGATGTATTTTAAGTCCCACAACTGATAAATGACTTGATGGATTATCTACCAATTTTCTTTTTAAAATTTCCATCTACTTAATAGTTGCATGTGAAATTTCAGGTTGGGAAGAACCTTTTCCCTGAACAAAAATATTAGACAGGTCACAAGAGAGAAAAATTGCATTTAAATAGAATTGCAACCATACTACTTTGTCATGGAAACTTCAGGAATAGAGATCAGGAATGTGGGCTAACTAGGCCATAACCTGAATAAATTTATCTTACAAATGATAATTTCTGGTCAGAATTCTTTCAAGCAAGACCCATGCTTTGTTCCATTTTATGGAGGGCTGCACTTAATCTTCTCTCCAAACTTTCAGCCTAGTCCCAGGCTCCATTTATGATGTTCTACTTAACTGAGAATGGAAAAGATGAGGAAAATAGATGGGAGATATACTATATAAGATCAAAAGAATTTCAGAACTTTCTCCTTTTTCCTGAAAATTCCAAGTAAAACTGACCAGAATATTATTTAAGTAAACCCTGGACACTTGCTTTTGCAGATTGTTCTTACAAAGTGATTTCAAGACTTGCTTGTCTCATTTTCTCAGTTCAAAAACATGTCCTTTCAGAAAATGAGCACTGTGTTTAACAAATGCTTTTCTCTAATCATGTGTCTAAATAAAGTCTATGAATCAGTCTGATATTCTCTTGAAGACCTTTACTGGGCATCTGTCAAATTGCTACAATATTAATTTGCAATCTCACCTCCAAATGGGTCCCTGGGCTGTTCAATGGAAGGTCTGAATGTTCCAGACAATCTGTCAGTGAGAAAAAGTAATCTTTTCTGTCTATCAAAGGATGGTGACCATGGCCAAGGCCCTGGCCCCTGAGTGTTCTTTTTATTCTGCTCTCAGCATACACCATGAAAGCTGTTGTCTAAGACAAAACAAATGGGAGCTGACATGGAGAACATAATGAATAAGAGCTGGATGCAGAATGAGGTCCTCACAAAATATAACCTCTTGTTAACCAGTTAGAAATTTTGCTTTCTTATTCCTATCAACTTAGAAAGATTTTTTGCTCAAAGAATCTTTATGCAATAGATTACCACAATTGATAATGCAGATATATTGAAGGAAATCAGTATTGTAGACTATTGAAGAAATTACTGTTTTTTAAAGGAATTTAGAGACAGCTTTCACCAGGTTTTCTCTGAGCTAAGAAAGAAATTCTTCAGCCATCTCTTTATGAAGTAAATAATTTTATAGGCTAACAATCATTTTGTGTACATTCATCAGAATTTGTAATATATATATGTATGTATGGTTGAATTTCTAATGAGTCATTACAATTTCAGCATGCAGACTTCTCTTAAAAGGAAAACTACTACTACTGCATTTCATACTCAAACAGACTTCATGCTTCACCATCATTATACAGAAATTTTGCTGACATGTCCTTCACCAAGCAAGGGCAGAGATGGAGAGGAGGAGCTAATGAGTGGCATGTTTTTTTCCTGCTGTGAGTCAATGCCTGTGGCTATTTGGGAAGATGGAATTCTGTAATAGCTAATACTACTAGTTTAGAAATAGAACCTGGTACACTAAGCAGAGTCAGCATGGAAATGATGAACAGTTGAGAAAAAGCCACCTCATATCTGTTCCAGATATGTACTGGCACAGCATATTGAGTAAGTGTAGCTCAGATTTTTCTATCTTTCATGTGCAATAGTCCCTCAAACATTTTGCAGGTACCTCTGTGGTTCAAGTGACAGCCACTGATGCGGATGATCCTACTTACGGCAACAGTGCTCGAGTGGTTTACAGCATATTGCAAGGACAGCCTTACTTCTCTGTGGAGCCCAAAACAGGTAAATTTACATAAAGCCTTCACAGTAATGCTGAGAAAAAGAGGAAAATGTGCATTAATACTTGCTAGGAACTTATTAATATGACCTCTTGGTTAATTGAATACATTTGGGTTTTGTCAATTTTTTGATCTTATTCTTTAGAATAGATTACGAAAGCCACACATATGAGCTATGTAATAAATAAACCTTGCTGGAATAGAATTTATTGTCTTTTCAATCCACCAGCTGCTTGGTCTGCTGCCTGTTTTCATCTCTCTTATCAGTGAAAATTTAAAAATTCATTGAACATTTTTTTCAGATTTCAGAAATACCTAAATGTCACATAGCCAGGTTCCATAAGAATAGATTTAAGGCACAATTACTCTCCATTCTACTTTTCAAACTAAAGTTTTGTTGTGGGAAATGAATCCCTTCTTTATTAATTCGAAAACGAAAACACTGTGCTTCTTCTGCTTACCAGATATAATATTTTGCTGCCACTTTCAAAGTATATTACTGGTGAAGCTTTGTTTTTACAATTTTCTTGAAATTTTGTGAATAATTTTAAGCCATAACCAAATGCAAACTTTAATCCTCTGCTGGTCTAATAAATGTTGCCCATTCTGCTGTATCATAACATAACACAGAAAAGTAGGTTCTTGCTCTGCTCATTTCAGTTTAGTGCTTGAGTCTTCTCTTATGCCTACAAGGAGAAGAGTTATAATCTTTATTTTGGATATAACCAAGCTGAGACAAAAGAGAAGAAAAATATTTACCCTTTTTATCTTAAACAACTTGTGATGCAATCAGACCTGAATCCCAATGTTGTGACCAAAATGTCATACTCTATTTTGCAACATCTAAATTTTCAGAAATAATACTATCATTTTCTTCATATTACAAAAGATCCATGCTCAGCAGGGATATATAGCACTGTCCTTTTCTCTCCAAAGAGAATGATTTATAGTGGTTTTCTGTCTGTTTCTCCCTCTCCATGTTTTTGTTTACGTACTATGTATATTGTGATAATGTCTGCAGACATCCCTTGAACAATAATATGGTAGTTTCTGCTAAATAAATATCTTGAAGAATTCTGACTGAAATGTTTGCATACATTTTCATTACTTTGATACTCAAATTTTCTGTGTGCATGACAGTTTGCTTCCAAATGATTGGGTAACTTTGCCTGGTAATTTAACTATGACAGAAAAACAAGCATGCTAAGAAAAGCAAGGTAGAAACAATAGCAATATTAAATTATATATTAATGGTATTTTACATGTCTTGTAAAATGGATGAAATAGTGCCAGGCAGTCTGTTTGTGAAGTAAGTGTTTCAAACCAGAGGTGATTAATGCCAAGTCCAACATTCATAAGGGAAAAAAGAAATAAAACTCTAAGCAAACATTCAACAAATAGCATATGAAGAGATATGTGTCCCAATGTGCCTCTTCTTTATTTAGTCTGTTTATGTTTCTTTTACTGCTGACACTAAGTGCTGGAGGAGCAAACGGCTGCCTCTCTGGAAATCAGGGTTAGCAGCTGTACTATGTACTGAGCATGAAATATTCATAAAATCATCATATTTTGAGAAGGCATATTTATTTTTTGATGTATATCAGCATAGCTGAAAGGATGAAACATGGAATTTTGTTCTAGTTTTCATTTCATGTCAATTAATTACAAATTAATTAATTAACTATGCCGAGCAGGAAACAGACATAACAAAAACTGCTTCAGATATTTAAGTATTTCATTAATAAATTTTAAAAATCGCTTAATTATGCCAATGATTTAGAAATGGATATTGGTAAACCCAATATATAGCAAAATAAGACAATTTCATATATCAGCAAAGTATGGCATGTTATCAATATTGGTAAGAGTTAATATCTTGGATGTGTATTCAAAAGATATTGAAATTAATCTTGACATTAGAATTTTAAAAATTAATGCAGAATATTCTGTTCTTTGTAGCTTTAAAAGAGTGGGAAAGCAAATACAGAAGTGTGGCCTAATGGCACAAAAGGAAAGACACTCACACTCTAAGGAATCAAGCATAAAAAAACCACTTTATTTACATTTCATGGCTATTTATAGAATTCCAACAATGACCATGGATTGGCCAGTGAGAGTAATACCTCCTGACCCCGTAGGTCCCATCAACAGTCCATCAATTCTCTCTTCCTCCAAAGAGGAATGCAAAACAATCATTATTTACAAGAAAGAGTGTGAGGAACTGTAAAAAGAATCTGTCAGCAATCAGAAGGCTGAAACACACGGCAACATAGAAGATTATATATCCAGGGAAAGAAGTATTACCCAAAATATTATGAAGACTAGTTCAGGGAGAAGATACTTGAAAAACACAATCATGTACAGCATTACCCAGTGAATCTAATACTAAATAAAAATTGGTGGGTTTGGTGACTATTTAAAATAAACTTACAGTATGTCCATGCACCTTCTGGTCAAAATCTGTTATATTAATGTTGGAATTAATTCATTCCACTCTTGCTGCAATCACTGATGGGCTGTTACCTTTCAAAGGCAAACTCAGCTTTCACAGTAGCCTTTTTTTGCCTGCACAATCCTTGACACCTTGTGTTTCTGCAGGTGTTATCAAGACTGCCCTTCCGAATATGGACAGAGAAGCCAAGGACCAGTACCTCTTAGTTATCCAGGCAAAGGACATGGTTGGGCAGAATGGGGGATTGTCAGGGACTACATCTGTCACTGTCACCCTGACTGATGTTAATGACAACCCACCCCGCTTTCCACGCAGTAAGTTACTTTGTAAATACGTGACTGGTAATATTATTCCTAAACTTTGCTATTTTCTTTGCACACTGCTATTTCTAAACAAAAAAGTTCTTACTTTCCATGTTAAGTACTTTGTTAAACACTGACTACTAGATTATTATTTATCATTATTTTTGTTATTATTATTATTAAGTAAACACTGTTTTTCTTTGCTGCCTGCATACCAGATGAAGTGGTGTACAGCCACAGAGACATTTATTAATATATTTTACTTCCTCTCTATGAATAAATAGACAAAATTATCCTAATAGATATTTAGGTCTTGCCAGTTAGACTTCAGGATTCTTTAATTTGATCCTTAATCCTTCATGCTCCTTTGGCATTGTCACATGCTTACAGTGTTTTCTAAAGAGTTAATCATAAAAGAACTGGGAAGTTACCTTCCCTTAATTTGATTTATTTGACCAAAGTTGCTCTCCTCCTAACCCAAAGAAAGGAGCACATAATTATATGCTCAAACCAGAAGAGCTCAGTTTCTTCATAGTTTTTTTTTTGAGTGCTTTTTTCTTAATTAAAACAAAACAAAACAAAAACAAAAAACATCAAGTGGTAACATAGAATTAAAGTAACGTGAATGATACATTCATGGTGGCTCCAGCCTCACCTCCAACGATGGAAAATATAGATCTGTACCTAATAGGTTTTCTGTTATTTCAAACAATAAACAATAAAATAACAATAGAATAATTGAAGTTATTTTTGAAGGTGAGAGTGTTATTGGCTATAGAATGCACTCTGATACCCTTTTGACAGCATATGTATCATTTGGTGCTTGAATAGAAAAAGCTAGAATTCGCAAGATGGTGCACTTGCTGTTAAAGAAATTAATATATATATTAATTTCTAGTGATATTCAGATTGTGATCTGCCTAATCAAGATATAATTCTATAGAACAGTAAGTTTTTATATTGATATTATTTACTTACTTGCTTTTCTTTCCTCTTTTCTGGGAGACAAAGTAAACGGTCTGTATTATCAGGGACTCACATCATGATTTGTATTTAAGTTTGGAAATTTTTTTTTTGCATCTTTGCCTTATATACTCTTGTCATATGAAAATGTTATGCCTGTTGCATATATGACACTTATATGTATATGTTATGCTTGTCTATCACAAAGAAAACCTAGAAAAAAGGAAAATTCTATTTCAAAACAAGAATATAGTCTTGTACCCTGAGTAAATGTTCAGGCACACTTCCTTTAAAGGAAGGTAGATTTAAGAATGCTAGATTTCTTTATTTTTAGATTTCTAATTTTTTTTCTTTCAGTCCCAGAAGACTATGAATTCATTACATTTTTAAATTTTGCAGGATCATATCAGTATAATGTCCCAGAGTCTTTGCCAGTGGCTTCTGTGGTGGCTAGAATAAAAGCTGCAGATGCAGATGTTGGACCAAATGCTGAAATGGAGTACAAAATTGTGGATGGTGATGGTTTGGGAGTATTCAAAATTTCTGTTGACAAAGACACCCAGGAGGGAATCATAACTATTCAGAAGGTGAGTCTGATTTTAGCCATTGATTCTGTTTGGAACTCTTCAAGATGGGGGCAGGTAATGAGAGTATGAGCTTTTGTTTCTAAGAGCCTTGTCTGCTGTAAATGTTTCCATTGGCATATTTCATCTTGACTTCACTGTGTGATTTTAAGATTTTTAAAGATTTATGTTGAAAAATATTCTGCGTTTTCTTTGACAAGACCTGTATTTTTGTGAGGAGGATGCTTTAAAGCACTGCTTTTGAATGGGAATCTAAACTTTAGTCTTTGTCTTTATATTAAATAGTAGAAAGTGTGAAAATATATCTTGCGGCAAAAAATGGAACCTCCAAATAAAAAATGGATCCTGAAATGAATTTTAAAAATAATTATCTAAATGTCTTTGGCTGAGGTGGTACTTTTCAGAAAGCACACATTATTAATTTAAAACTATGTGAAGTAAAAGTAGTAGGTTTACAAGATCATGTATTATTAAAAAATATTATTTCAAAAATCCCTGAAAATTTTAAATAATAAATAGTTTTCTACATGTGCAGTTAGAAAATATTATGAACTTGAAAAATCATGCTGATGTAAAATTATTAAAACTGATCTTTCTTATATTGCTGCAACACATTTTTAGACTACCCTTTTAAAAAGTTAAAATGTGCTGAAATATTTTTCAAGAAAATTTAATTTTTTTGAACAGAACAAGAAATACAACACCTTAGAAAAATCTCTCAAATAATTTCCTACCTTTAATGTGTGAATGCTTGGCAAGGTCCCTGTGACCTTTGTTATGATAAGGGTGGTATTTCACAGACTGGGGTTCCCACCCAGAGCTCAACCTGTAGCTCCCACTGCAGCTGCTTACCCAGCTACCTACACTGAATGGATTCCTCAACAATTTAATATCCTTGAAATCTGGGAATGACTTGTCATTTTGGAATAAATGTAGCTAAGTTTCCAAACAAGGACTAATGTTTGTACTTAATATTATTCCATAACAGACTTTTCTTCCCTATATATTCTTTAATCTTTGTAAACTTCACCTATTGGTTGGGGGGCTTTTTTGTCTTGGGTTTTTCCCCTTCTCTGGTGTATCAATTTCTTCTTCAAGCAATGCAAAGCTTCAGTTATATTTCTCCTTTGAAAGAAATTAAGACTTCAAGATGTTGCAAAGCAATGGGTTACTTCTCTGATGCCCTTAACCCCTGTTGAGAGCTGGTAATCATCCATAGATGTCGCCACACATGAAGTATGTTCACCCTTGAAAGATCATAATATATGTAATGTGAATCATCTTTTTTCAAGGCAAAAACCGCCCATCTTAAGCTTCTTGCAAAATGTGATTCTTCTTAGCACGTTTGAAATACAAGTGATGAAAAGTTAGTAGTTTTTTTGTTCAACAGCCAAATTCAATGTGTCTCCTTCAGTTTGCTCATTTAAAGTTTTTGGGCAAGGATTTGGGAGAAATGTGCCTATCCTAGAGGGAGAACATTTAGCAGTACTGCAATGAGCAACACTGAATCAGTCAGGGTCTTCAGTGATGTAATATCTGGTGAAGTAATTTTGAATTTTTTAGTATGATTTTTGTTATGACATGGTATTTGTTCCTGGAGTATCCTGATTTCAGTGCTATACAGTGGAACAAATAATTGACATTTGTTATTTCTACAGTCATTTTAGCTAGGGAGCTGTGATGCCTGGAAAGGTTGACCTAGAATAGAGACTAAACAGACTAAATCCCAAGGCATCTTGGACTTGAACTGGACTTTTCACTACTAAATATTTGTCCAGAGAAGTGCTCTTTGAAATAGCGTTTGGATTACTTTGAAAGGGCACAAATTGTTGATTTGATCAAATGGACGAATCTGTTAATAATTTTTATACCTACATACTGCTATATTTTGGCATAAGAATTCAGACATCTTTCTCTGCAGCGTTAGACCTTTTCTCTAATTTTCCTACTATTTTTGACTTATTTTCCTCTGTGTAGTAGATAGTCCTTGGCTCGTGCCAGATGCCCATTAAGCCAGTCTTTCACCCCCTCTTCAGTGGGACAGTGTGAGGAAATAAGATGGAGAAAACCTTGTGGTTCAAGATAAGAGTGTTTTACGAAAACAAAACTGAAGGTCACATGCATGCCAAGCAAAGCGGAAAACCACAAGATCTTATTCACTGTGGAGATGCCCAGCCACTTCCTGGGAAGTAGGGCTTCAGTTCAAGTAGCAATTGCTTCAGCAGGGAAAGGTTGTAAATAATGAATGCCCACTCCCCCACTCTGTCCCCCTGCCTTTCTGTTAGGTTTTATATCTGAGAAGATGCCCTATGGTGTGGAATATCTCTTTGGTCAGTTTGGGTCCACTGTTCTGGCTGTGTCTCCTCCCAAGATCTTGCCCATCTGTGTGGGAAATATTGGAGAGACAGCACTGATGCTATGCCAGTACTGCTTGGCAGTAGCCAAAAAACTGGCATGTTGTCAATAGCTTTCCAGCTAGCAATGCAAAGCACAGCACTGGTCTGCTGTGGGGAAAATTGACTGCTCTTCACCCAAACTTGACATACTCTGGCATACCCAAAGGTGATTCCCCATGCTGAGGGCCACCTCCCAAACCTCAGGATGTCCTTAGATTTTCATTTTGACTCCAGGGGACCTTGTGCTTTGCCCGTGCTGGAAGACCCTCCCTGCCAGCCCTGTACAGAACATTGTCTAGGATAGAAGTGAGGAGCTGGAGATCAGTGCCTTTCAGGCCACTACTGGCTTCTGGACAATAAATTGAATTAAAATCATTAATAACTGTGTATGCAGGTTAAGCAGGTTTCAGCCTCTGAGTCTTACCTGCCAGATCCCCATGGAGTCAAGTTATCCCTGCATGATAATGTGTGCTTGTTAGTAAGAAATCAGGGAAGACATTAAGTTTGTAGCCTGGATTCTGCCTAAAAGTTTTACTGTCCAGTACATGATGTTCTGTACTCCTCTGAGTGCAATTACCTTCCTCCTTTTCATGCCCTAAAATCAGCTGAGGTATTGAGAAATAGCTCAGCCTCAAAATGCATGCCTATCCTTTTCAAATTCTGATTATTGATATGCTCAGATGACATGTCTGGGTACACATCAGGCAGTAAAATGCCAAGGCAAAGACTTATGAAAAGGCACGTTTTGGTTCTAAATGCAAATTAGTGCTTTAGTTTTGCATACTTCTACTGCAATTGTACATAAAGCTCAGCAGGCTGGGCACGAAAATCACCGTCAGTAGCTCTGAGCAGCTGAAGGCACTTCTCCATTCATTTTTGTGCTGGGTGTTGCTGGAGAAAGTTTGGCACCTGTTTATCCGACTTCCTCACACAAGCTGAGGATTTTACATTCTGTTTTAGAAGGATAACCACTTCAAGAGAATTTTGAAAGTTGACTTCTTTACTCAAAACTAACACTTCTTTTAACACATAAGTATAATTAAGTTGTAAAAAAGAGAGTTTTTGTAAGCAAGTAAACTGTAGGAAGTGAGATTTAAGAATTCACAGTGTAAAGACAGATTTTTATGCCTTTTTTTTTTTTAAATTCCACAATTTCATTTTATAGAATATTACAAAGAGACCCAGGGATAAGCAAAAATTGCAGAAAAATGATCTGGTTTGAAACAGGGAGATATCAAATACCATGATATTAGAATGAGAAAAGTGTTACATGATTAGGTGTATCTCAAAATTAGTGGTGAATAGATTTGGGTGTGTTTAATTTTTTTGTTTTGGATTGTTTTCCATGCCTGTTTGAACATGTTTCTTCTCTGTACCCAGCAACAAAGGTACTTCAAAACATCATGAGTCAGTGGAAAAAAAAAGTGGTTTTACTATTAATAGTGATATTCATTGAAATATATGGAGTGTATTCCTTACTTTATAACTCTTCTGCATTGCCATAAAGACAGATATCTCTCTGGCTTGCAGTTTATTCAGGATGGATTTTTCTCCTAACACTTTGAGAACAGTGCTGTTTTCTGAATAAGAGTGGTAGTTCTGCTCATAGTTCTTATAGCTATGGCAAGACTAGGAATTATGTGTTCCTGAACATGCTAGCACTGTTGCTACCTAGTGCCTAATGTCAGTGTTAATTAGCTACTAAACTAAACCTCAGCTCAAAATAATATTTTGGCAATAGCCTGGCACTCTTGTAATTACTCCCTTTACCATATGGAATCAGAGAAGGGAAGAATGCTTTCTCTGTGTTTGTTTCCACTTGGTCTTTGTCCTTTCAAAGAGTAAAGAGTAGGATTGCACTACCTTATGCAGCACAACTATGAAGCATGTGTGCTGTATCACTGTACAGTTTGTGCAGCCATATGGGCTTTCACATACTTGTCACACCTTATTTTATTTTATCCCAGTTAGGATATTTGAATCAAAATTAAATGAATGAGATAAGTAGTTCACAGATTCCAGGAAGTAGCTTAAGTTCGGTTGAAAAAAAAAAAAAAATCACCCCCACCAAAAAATAACCCAAACCAAAATAAACCGATAGAACAAAAATAAAGAAACTCCCTCCCCCTGAAAAATTTTAAAATATTTGGGACAAGGACTAATTTCGTTCATGAATTTATGGCTTGCATAATAACAGCACGTTATGTCTGGGTAGAACTGATTTTTGTAAGATTAGAGAAGCTAAAAGTTCATCTTATGACAGAAGCTAGTGTTGAACATTCAACAGTGTTGAACCATTTACTTGGTTATTGGCACTAAAAAATAAAATCTACTCTCTTCTGCAATACGTTAACTGATTTTGTATTCAAAAAGTGTATCCAGCATGTATCTACAATGGTATATAAAAGTGTGTACATTGCTTTTAGGCTATTTTCAGCTATTTCATTACCTGAAATAGGATATGAAAAATTCTAGAAGACAAACTTTGACTTTCTTTTTCTTCGTCTTTCCTCTTTATTGAGAAGTTGTTATAAATGACAAGTGAATGAGACCCATAAGTATTGTTCTCAGCTTAAATGAAGGGTGGGAAAGTAGTAGGAAAGCTAA